TTCCTCCATATTGTGGTATGCAGTACATCTTTTTATTTAGGCATCATTTTATCAAAGCTACTGTAATAAACACCTTATTTCTGGGAAAAAGGGGGGGGGGGTTGAGCCCTAATAAAGCTTTAGTAAATGTTTCAGTGTTAGGGAAGGGATGTCAGCCTCACGCGGGCTGTTTACATGTTTTGTAAATCAGTTTTGGGGCAGGGATGTCAGCCTCACACTGGCTGTTTACATGTTTTGTAAATCAGTGTTGGAGCAGGGATGTACCTGAGTTGTGGGAAAGTTACCTGATGAAGTGGTGAAGCCGAGATACGAGAGCTGTTTCAGCTAGGACATCATGTAAACCGGGACATTTGCTCGTTGTAAGTGTAAGGCTACATCAGAGCTAAATTCATGGTTTCTCGTAATCCTCATAAATTGTCTGTCCGCATATGGTGCCCAGTTGTGTAACGTGGAGCGTGTGAGAAATATAATCCATCACACACGCATGAATACTACCTAGACAGCGAGAACCACACACAAAACCACTTATTACAGTCATGTGATGAGAAGGAGGAAAACTGGAGCACATCATTGACAGTAGAAAAGTTGGTAGGGGAGGAAAGGCAGAGGGAAACTGACAGAACAGATGCTGGACAGTCTGACATCATGGCATAAAGGTAGGGTTAAGAGTCATAAAGTACAGTGAGACAAAGGGTTGTGAAGAGACATGTCTATCCAAGCCCACATGGCATGGACTTGGAAGAAATCAGTGATGGGGCAGAGATGTCAGTCCATGTAGGTTATTCACATGTTTAGTAAATCAGTGTTGGGGCAGAGATGTCAGTCCATGTAGGTTATTTTCATGCTTGGTAAATAATCAATGTTGGGGCAGAGATGTCAGTCCATGTAGGTTATTCACATGTTTAGTAAATCAGTGTTGGGGCAGAGATGTCAGTCCATGTGGGTTATTCACATGTTTAGTAAATCAGTGTTGGGGCAGAGATATCAGTACATGTAGGTTATTTAAATGTTTAATAAATCAGTGTTGGGGCAGAGATGTAAGTCTGTGTAGGTTATTTACATGCTTGGTAAATCAGTGATGGGGCAGAGATGTCAGTCCATGTAGGTTATTTACTTGTTTAGTAAATCAGTGTTGGGGCAGAGATGTCAGACCATGTAGGTTATTTACATGCTTAGTAAATCAGTGTTGGGGCAGAGATGTCAGTCCATGTAGGTTATTTACATGCTTGGTAAATCATGTTCGGGCAAACACATGTCAGTCCATGTAGGTTAATTACATGTATAGTAAATCAGTGTTGGGGCAGAGTGTTCAGTCCATGTAGGTTTTTTACATGCTTGGCAAATCAGTGTTGGGTGCAGAGATGTTAAGTCCATTGTAGGTTATTTTGGTTTTTTTGTTTTTCAAATGTTTAATAAATCAGTGAAGGGGCAGAGATGTCAGTCCATGTAGGTTATTTACATGTTTAGTAAATCAGTGATGGGGCAGAGATGCCAGGCCATGTAGGTTATTTACATGTTTAGTAAATCAGTGATGGGGCAGAGATGCCAGGCCATGTAGGTTATTTACATATATTTAGTAAATCAGTGAGTGGGGCCGAGAATGTCAGTCCATGTAGGTTATTCACATGTTTTAGTAATCAGTGTTGGGGCAGAGATGTCAGTCCATGTAGGTTATTTACTTGTTTAGTAAATCAGTGTTGGGGCAGAGATGTCAGACCATGTATGGTTATTTTCATGCTTAGTAAATCAGGTTTGGGGCAGAGATGTCAGTCCATGTAGGTTATTTTTACATGCTTGGTAAAATCAGCGTTGGGGCAGAGATGTCAGTCCATGTGTAGGTTAATTACATGTATAAAGTAAATACAGTTTTGGGGGTCAGAGATGTCAGTCCATGTAGGTTATTTACAAGCTTGGTAAATCAGTGTTGGGGCAGAGATGTCAGTCCATGTATGTTATTTACATGTACTTGGTTGGTAAGTCAGTGTTTAGAATAGCTTAAGTAGGTTATATATGATGTTTAGTAAATCATTGTCAGGGCATGAGATGCTTTCCTCATGAGGTTTTCTAACATGTTTTGTAAATCAGTGTTTTACGACAGGCATGTCAGCCTCACATCGGGCTATTTAAACATTTTATAAATCAGTTTTTGGGGCAGAGATATTAAACTCTGAATAGATAATCTAAAATGTGTGAATGTGTGCCAGAGAGAAAGATTGGGGGGGGGGGGGGGGGTGGGGGGGGGGGGGGTATATTAAATTTATTAGAAAATAGAAGAGGTGGGGAAAATGATAACAATATAAAATATGTATTAGAAAGAGAAGAAAGCTGAAGAAAGACAACAATATAAAATGTATATTAGAAAGTGTGAAGCCGAGATCGACCATGCCAGCGTGTGAGATGCCCAAACATCAATGTGAATCCATGGGATCCAACTTTGCTTGAATGCCTGAAGAAGACTGTTCGTTGAAGGCTGCATGAGTTTGGGTACGAGAGCTGTTCACTAGGACACCGACCGGACATTTCTCGTTGTAAGTGTAAATACATCAATAAATTCATGTCTCGTAATCTCATATTGGTGTCGGCTTGTGCCAGTTGTGTAACGTGGAGCGTGTGAGAAGATCATCCATCACACACGCATGAATACTACCTAGACAGCGAGAACCACACACAAACCACTTATTACAGTCATGTGATGAGAAGGAGAAAACTGGAGCACATCATGACAGTAGAAAAGTTGGAGGGGAGGAAAGGCAGAGGGAAACTGACAGAACAGATGCTGGACAGTCTGACATCATGGCATAAAGGTAAGGTTAAGAGCAGAAAGTACATGAGACAAAGGGTTGTGAAGAGACATGTCTATCAAAGCCACATGGCATGGACTTGGAAGAAATCAGTGATGGGGCAGAGATGTCAGTCCATGTAGGTTATTCACATGTTTAGTAAATCAGTGTTGGGGCAGAGATGTCAGTCCATGTAGGTTATTTTCATGCTTGGTAAATAATCAATGTAGGTTATTTACATATTTAGTAAATCAGTGATGGGGCCGAGATGTCAGTCCATGTAGGTTATTCACATGTTTAGTAAATCAGTGTTGGGGCAGAGATGTCAGTCCATGTAGGTTATTTACTTGTTTAGTAAATCAGTGTTGGGGCAGAGATGTCAGACCATGTAGGTTATTTACATGCTTAGTAAATCAGTGTTGGGGCAGAGATGTCAGTCCATGTAGGTTATTTACATGCTTGGTAAATCAGCGTTGGGGCAGAGATGTCAGTCCATGTAGGTTAATTACATGTATAGTAAATCAGTTTTGGGGCAGAGATGTCAGTCCATGTAGGTTATTTACAAGCTTGGTAAATCAGTGTTGGGGCAGAGATGTCAGTCCATGTATGTTATTTACATGCTTGGTAAGTCAGTGTTAGAATAGCTTAAGTAGGTTATATAGATGTTTAGTAAATCATTGTCAGGGCAGAGATGCTTTCCTCATGAGGTTTTCTAACATGTTTTGTAAATCAGTGTTCCGACAGGCATGTCAGCCTCACATCGGCTATTTAAACATTTATAAATCAGTTTTGGGGCAGAGATATTAAACTCTGAATAGATAATCTAAAATGTGTGAATGTGTGCCAGAGAAAAGATTGGGGGGGGGGGGGGGGGGGGGGGGGGGGGGTATAAAATGTATTAGAAAATAGAAGAGGTGGGGAAAATGATAACAATATAAAATATGTATTAGAAAGAGAAGAAAGCTGAAGAAAGACAACAATATAAAATGTATATTAGAAAAGAGACCTGATACAGGATAACAAAATAAAATGTCATTTTGTAGGAGAAGAGGTCTGGAAAAAGATAATATAAAATATGTATTAGAAAGGAGAAGAGTCCTGGAGGAAGACAACAATATAATATGTGTATTCGAGAAGAGAAGGAGCATAGATAAAGATAACAATATAAAATATGTATTAGAGAGGAGAAGAGGTCTGGAGAAAGATAATATAAATTATATATTAGAAAGGAGAAGAGGCCTGGAGGAAGATAACAATTAATATGTGTATTTGAGAAGAGAAGGAGCATAGATAAAGATAACAATATAAAATATGTATTAGAAAGGAGAAGAGGCCTGGAGAAAGATAATATAAATTATATATTAGAAAGGAGAAGAGGCCTGGAGAAAGATAATATAAAATATGTATTAGAGAGGAGAAGAGGCCTGGAGTAAGATAACAATATAATATGTGTATTCAAGAAGAGAAGGAGCATAGATAAAGATAACAATATAAAATATGTATTAGAGAGGAGAAGAGGCCTGGAAAAAGATAATTTAAAATTTGTATTAGAAAGGAGAAGAGGCCTGGAGAAAGATAATATAAAATATGTATTAGAAATGAGAAGAAACCCGGAGAAAGATAATATAAAATATGTATTAGAGAGGAGAAGAGGCCTGGAGGAAGATAACAATATAATATGTGTATTCAAGAAGAGAAGGAGCAAAGATAAAGATAACAATATAAAATTTGTATTTTAAAAGATAAGAGACCTGAAAAAAATTAACAATATAAAACATGTTAGAGAAGTTAAAAGCCTTAGAGAAAGATAAGAAAACAAAATATGTATTAGAGAAGAGAAGTGGCCTGATGAAGGACAACAATATAACTTGTGTATTAGAGAAGAGATCTGATGGAGGAAAAGAATAGGCAATTTGTGTCACATAAGAGATCCAAAGGAGGATAACAATATAAAATATGTATTAGAGAAAATAAGAGTCCTGGAGAAAGATAACAATATCAAGTATATATTACTGAAGAAAAGAGACCTGACAAAAAATAAAAATATAAAATATTTATTAGAGAAGATAAGCGGCCTTCAGAAGGGGTTCAATTATTAACAGATCAACAATGTCAAGTGCCTTCCAAATATTTTTTATTGCCTCATGAAGGGTGAACTCAAAACTTATAATGGACATTCAAGGTGATCTGCAAAAACAGGTGTCAGACATCTGGATGCAATTAGGCCAGTGAATGACGTGCCTGCTCAACTTTTTGCCGAACATGGTTGCAATGAAGGGTCAGTTCTGAATGTTTCCTCTTCAACTGATCCAGTTTACTTTGAAGCTCAATGTTTTCATCCTTCTGCTCCTCAAAATCTCTCAGAAGTGACTCATTGCCAAGGAAACCACATTTCTGGCGTAGCTTATTGTTGTCTATTTTCAGCGAGTCCCTGGCTTGTTTTGTCCTAGATAAAATATCTCGGCTCTGAGGGAAAAAAATAACATCTTGCATGATTACAGCCTGCATGCAGCACACACACATGCACTCACACACACACACATGCAAACACACACATACACACAATGACATGGTGTATGAATACTTAATGATTTTGTGTATGGGCATACAATGACATGGTGTATGAATACTTAATCATTTTGTGTATGGGCATACAATGACATGGTGTATGGGCACACAATGTGTGACACTATGTGTCTACATGACTGCAGGTTCGAGAAAGTCATTCCCAGCTGGCAATGAGTGCTACTAAATTCATCAGTCTGCTGAAGTGAAACATATCTGGTTCTAACTATCACACAACAACAAGCCGTGATGCATCTTCACACTAATTGATTTTTATTTATTAATATTTGATTGTACTTTTGGTTACTCATAACTGAAGCAAAACAAAACAATTTGTAAATCTGTACAATCTAATTCCTCTTGAATCTGTAAGTTTCACTTCTGGCATTCAAAAATTGAAAAAAAAAAAAAAAAAAAAAATCGGCACCTTTAAATCTGATGCACCTAAATGTTGTATAAGCACGTTACATAATACCTCTTCCAGATATGAAAGCTGATATGCATTTGTAAATAAATGGTGATGTAGTCCTTTCCTCTTAAAACTTTTTACAAGCATGGCTAGGGTTAGGGTTAAGGTTGGAGTTAGGGCTAGGGCTAGGGTTAGGGTTAACATTAGGGCTATGGTTAGGGCTATGGTTAGGGTTAGGGCTAGGGTGAGGGTTAGGGGAGGGTTAGGGCTAGGGTTAGGGCTAGGGTTAGGGGGAGGGTTAGGGCTAGGGCTAGGGTTAGGGCTAGGGTTAGGGTTAGGGGGAGGGTTAGGGCTAGGGCTAGGGTTAGGGTTAGGGTTAACGTTAGGGCTAGGGTTAGGGTTAGGGCTAGGGTTAGGGTTAACATTAGGGCTAGGGTTAGGGTTAGGGCTAGGGTTAGGGTTAGGGTTAGGGTTAGGGCTATGGTTATGGTTAGTGTTAACGTTAGGGCTAGGGTGAGGGTTAGGGGGAGGGTTAGGGCTAGGGCTAGGGTTAGGGTTAGGGCTAGGGTTAGGGCTAGGGTTAGGGTTAGGGTTAGGGGGAGGGCTAGGGTTAGGGTTAGGGTTAACGTTAGGGCTAGGGTTAGGGTTAACGTTAGGGCTAGGGTTAGGGTTAGGGTTAACGTTAGGGCTAGGGTTAGGGTTAGGGCTAGGTTTAGGGTTAACGTTAGGGTTTAGGGCTAGGGTTAGGGTTAACGTTAGGGCTAGGGTTAGGGCTAGGGTTAGGGTTAACGTTAGGGCTAGGGTTAGGGTCAATGTTAGGGCTAGGTTTAGGGTTAACGTTAGGACTAGGGTTAGGGTTAGGATTGGGGTTAGGGTTGGGGTTGGTCCAATAAGCTTGTTCTGAATGTTTTCCTAGTTGTTCAGTTTCCTTTTTAATTTACCATAACGGCCATATGCTGCTCCATCATTATTCATTGAGATCATTTTGCTTGTTTTATCTGCAGTCTGTCTGCCCAGTTCTAAGAACCAATTTATTACATATGTGTCCCATAAACTGTCCTCTGCAAACTCCTGCAAGTTATTATATAATCTCCTGTCACTGTGTATCAGTAACTACTCAATATTAGTGTCCCCAGGCGGTCTGTTGGTCAGTTTGTTTCAGCCTAATTTCAGGTGCCATCTAGGAGATTCCATTTAGATAGTTTATGTCAGGGAAATCTGACAACCAATTGTAATGTCCAACCTTGTTTACTGGCAATCAAGTTAACAATGAGTTTTTTACAGAAGGGGATTTTCCTGCTTCTGTGAATAATTAAACCCATTGTCTCTTGTAATTATTTAATTATGCTGGAGACAATTATTCTGTGGGAGATTGTCTGCTTGTTTCATACCTAGTCAGGTTGTGCAAAAATTACTTTGATAATTGCTGGGAGATTAAAATAATATTCTGCTTTCTAGTGAAATTAATTATTGAGTGTCGCTTGTTCAATCTGCATTTGCATTGGCTTTTGTTAGCAGGCGCTGTAACTACTTGTTATGAGCAGGGTTCAATTCTTCCTGTATTATATCTAAAAATGAAAGCTCAGGTGGAGCATGGGAGATGTGGTTACAACCACATATAATTACCTAATCAGCACCTTGACTCTATTACAAATGACATGGTGTATGGGCGCATAATGACATGGCCTATGGATGCACAATGATATGGTGTATGGGTACATAATAACATGGTGTGCGAACACATAATTACATGGTGTATGAACACATTATGACATATAACACATAACTGTACTAGCACAATACCTGAGCAAAACAGGTAGAACAAGAATCAGAGCAAGGGACTCAAGAGAACTCAAGTGATGAGGAAGTCAGCTGGAACAGACTGGGGGGGGGGGGGGGGGGAACCTCAGTGTCCTCAAGAGGGCCTATACAGGCTATGTGAGACCAACACTAGAATATGGGACAGTTGCTTGGGGCACAGCAGCTAAACCATATTTTCAGAAAATCTCAAAGATCCAAAACCATGCTCTCCGTATTGTGACAGGGGCCATGGGCTCCACGCCCATGTCAGACATGGAAACAATGACTGGTCTCCATGCTCTGGAATACCATATTTGAAAGAAAAAACCTATACACAGCTGACTGCAGAAACCCCAAAAGGCTAGACTAATGAGAACATGTTTCATAAAGAGCGAAAATGTCAAGTTCACTGACCTCAAACTGCATCTTATAGTTTCAAATGGTACACTGAAACCTTACAACCACTGCCCCACCAAGAGAGCAGTAAGAGACAGAGATGGAGGAATATACATAGAATGCCAAAATGATTTATAAATCAACCAAGCTATACAAACAGGTTCATATTCCTCCAGTAACAGAGCCAAGACATATGCACTTCTGGTGGCATGTTATTTCCTGAAGGTACAAAAACACAGCAAATATAGCATGGAGGTTTTTTCTACTGATGCCATGTCAATTTTACATGCAGTTATTACCACAAAAGACACTCAGTTTGTAGATTTGAAGCAACAGCTAATACACCTAGGTTCTTCAGTAGAACAATCTGTTGATTCCAGGTCAATGTGGCTTGGAAGACAATGAAATAGCAGACAGGGTGGTTACAAGTGGCAGTGACATGGTAAAACCAAAAAAAGTGAGTTAACCCAGCAAGAGATTAAGACATTTATACTATCTAGTATCTAAGAGAGGTGGCTAAATACACGCACCCAATTCTCTCCTCAAGATTCGCTTCATTGCCTCTCTAGAGATGCACATCTATATTATATTCAGGCTAAGGATAAGGCACAGTTTTCTGACAGAAGGATCAGAGAAAATATGGACCACACGATAGCTTTCATAAAGGCTACCGTCCTCCTGATATCAGTTTTCTGACAGAAGGATCGCGGAGAAGAGGAAGAAGAATACCTGAGCCAGAGTGGCATCTATGACCTTTAGGTCATTGCTTTTCACCAGGTTCTCTGCTTGCACAAACTGAAGCTTTTCTTTCAAATGGGTCAGAATCTGAACAGTACTTGTGATTTTCTTCCTGAACTTCAACAGTTCCTGCAAAAATCAGAAAACTAATTAGATAATAAATAAATAGCAAGGCAGAGAAATATAATCTATGTTCATAATGTAAATATTAAGAGTCATACGATGGACTCCATTCACCATGCTTGAGGACCTTGATTTTGCAGATGATATAGCACTCCTATCACATAAACATGAACATATACAAGAGAAAAGTAACAGACTAAACTGCACAGCAGAAATTGTGGGACTGAGAATAAATACAAAGAAAACTAAGATCATGACAAACAGTCCAAACCAACAACCAGTGACCATAAGTAACCAATCACTTGAAAATGTAGAACATTTCACATATCTTGGCAGTGTGGTGTCCCTACTGGGAGGGACAGAGGAAGACATACAGTCATGTCTGAACAAAGCTAGAGATGCTTTTGGAAGGATGAGGCAAATCTGGAAATCCAACAATTACTGCAGAGGAACGAAACTCCGACTCTACAAGAGCATTATTTTGCCAGTTCTTCTTTATGGAGCAGAATGCTGGAGAATACCAAAAAATGTGCACACAAGCTGTCCACCTTCCACCACACATGTCTACGTAGAATTATAAAAATTGTCTAGCCAGATACAATCTCAAACACTAAACTACTTCAAGCCACAAACCAAGAAACTTTAGACAGTATGATTACCAAGAGAAGATGGAAATGGCTTGGCCACGTTATGAGAATAACTTCTGACATACCTGCCAAAACAGCTCTCACATGGACACCAGAGGAAAAGAGAAAACAGGGGTGCCCAAAAACAACATGGAGACGAACGATGGAAAGTGACCTGAGTCCGGCATCTTTGACATGGAAAACTGCACTGAAGATTGCACAGGAGAGGAAAGCATGGAAAGTCCTCTCTGAAGCCTCATGTGCCACTAGGCATAACGAGAACTGATGATGTAAATGTTCAACTGAAAAATCAGTTTATGTCAAGTGAAACATTTTTTAACATAACGAACTTGCAGAAGTTCAAGTTTGATAGACTTGGAGAAGTTCATGAGTGACAGAAATGAAGAAGATCAAATGTGACACACTTGGAGAAGTTCATGTGTGACAGATTTAGAGAAGATCATGTGTGACAGACTTGGAGAAGTTCATGTGTGACAGATTTGGAAAAGTTTAAGTGTGACTGACCTGGAAAAGTTCATGTGTGACAGACAGACTTTGAGACGTTCATGTGTGACAGATTCGGAGAAGTTCATGTGTGACAGACTTGGAGAAGATCATGTGTGACAGACTTGGAGAAGATCATGTGTGACAGACTTGGAGTAGATCAAGTGTGACAGACTTGGAGAAATTCATGTGTGACAGAGTTGGAGAAGTTCATGTGTGAAATAGAAATATGTAGAAATATGTTACTGATAGGTTTTATAAGAAAGTACACCATTTGTAAGGGAATGGTTGTTGTGTGTCACTCAAGAGTGCCAAAAGTCAAAGTGTGAGAGTGTACATTACTATACATGAGTTGACTGACTGAGGACACTTAGGTCACATACATTCTTTACAGCAGCTTATTTTGCTAAACACAGGTGTTGTGTGGAACTTGTTGTTCATCTGGATCTAGCAAATTGTGGAAAAAACTGTTGCAAATGGTTTTAATCAATTAATTTTAGCCTTTAGAGGAGAGTGGATGTGCACAAGTTATGTTAGTCTAATTCAAGCGTGGGGACACTTGTTCACTGTTTTAATCCAGTGGAGGGAGTGAACTTATTATAGGTGTTTTATTCTCTTAAATAGATATTGATTTCTGAAACACATGTAGGACAGTCAAATTTGAAGACTGATATGACTGCAGCTCAGCTTAATTCAGAAGCACTGGTCAGCTGAAGTTAGAAGACTGTTAGCGACATTTAATGGATGGAAGAAGGGTTCTGCAGGCTGTCCAGAGAGAGCAGTTATGACAGCAGGTGTGGCAAGGCCCTGTATTATTTGTCACTTTTTGGAATGCAATCCACAGGCGTGAGTGCAACCTTTATTCCAGTGGCATGACTTCATCTTTATGAGCGCCCCTGTAAAGCATGTAGTAAAGAAGTGGGCATACTGCAATTTGTTTGGAAAATAGATTTTAGAGGACACAGAAGTGAACCTATAGCTATAATTATCTTTGTACATAAACCTGTGCACCAGAGTTTGGGTGCCACCTTTGGAGACTGTGTTGTGTGGTGGGTGTGTTAGGGAGTGATCTTAGCAGACTGACCTTTATTCATATAATCATTACAGATTCATACATCTATGAACAAACCTGATTAACTGCACTTAACTCTCTTGTAAAAGAAAATTGTAACTTCGTATTATCTTTAATAACTCACGCAGTTTGTGTTTGATTGCAACCAGATTTTCTGACAATCTGCATTTTTAAGTGTTTTTGTATGGAATGAGTTCTGAAAATTTTTGCCTTGTTAACATAAGCAAACTGATACTCACAGTGGTAGGGGAGTCGAAATGTAAATCTCACACTGCTTAATAATGAGTGTGCCCTATTTTGGTATGAATCACATCTCTTCAGCGGTGCTTCTTTAAGAGGATTAGCTTTAACTCTTTGAGTCTCTGGGGGTTCAGCATCACAGGCAAAAGGGGTAGTGAAAAAAGACTAAAATCGACGCATCATGCATTCATTGGGCTTCTAGGTAGGAACCTGTGAATGTATGATGCGCTCCATGGGACTCAAAGAGTTAAGACTGCAGCTTGCGGAAGATTACTGAATGCATGTGTGAGTTAAATTGTGAGCTCTAATAGATTCTGGGGTGGATTTGACAGGTTTTGGACAAGGCAGTTAAGCATGGCCTCTACATGCTCAACAGGATTAAGGTCTGGTGAACCTGCTGGCCATGGGCGATAAACATCAATATTGCTTTGCAAGAGGAATGCAGTGTTACAAGTGCTCAATGTGGGGTTGCATTGTTGTGCATAAAGTCTTTTCCATGAGTTTGTAAAAATGACACAATCTATGGTGTCAGGATATTGTGTACGTATCACTTGTTGCACTTGTTGTATGCTAAATGTGAGGTGGCATATGAACATATGGTCCAAGTGTCTATTTCATGATTCTCTATTGAACTCTGCAGCACACACACAGTCCAGGAAAACTCAACAAACTGTTCATCATCATAAGTTTAATCACAAAACATTTGAGTCTACCAACCCAGCACACCATATATAAAAGCGAAGTAACCTCATGTATGTCCATGCACTGGCTAACAGTGACACGCAACACCACTGCACTGTGATATTTCCAGCCCTTCTACAATTCTCTGTAATTTCTCCCCAAACAAAGATGCTGCTTTAACCAAAGTTTGAAGCTACCTCGATGCAGTTATGAGCAAATCCCTCATGTTGACATCTGTACCCCTCTGATTCTACCATCATGCTTTTGCATAATGAATCATGGCTTATCTGGGCACATAACAGACTGGAACTGCCTTTGAGGCCACCTGCCCACTGAAGTCCTTTCTGCATGTGGTGTGGATGAAGTTGAGGGCATCAGACAGGCTGGAGTAGATGTATGTCTGCTTCCCTCAAACAATGTAAAAACAGTTTTCAAAAAAAAATGTCTGTTATTTGATTGTGGATGTGTCCACTGTCTTTTGAGCAGACTGGAAACAGTTCCATAATTAAATTGTGCAAAAAAATCAGGCTTGACTTTGCATGATCATCACTGGTCTTAGAAGGTCTCTCATGATATTAAAAGCAAAGTGTAGTAAAGTAGAAAAGTAAAGGACAGAAAACAAAGTGAAGTAAAGTAAAAGAGTAAAGGACAGGAAACAAAGTGGAGTAAAGTAGAAGAGTAAAGGAAAGGTAACAAAGTGGAGTAAAGCAGAAGAGTAAAGGACAGGTAACAAAGAGGAGTAAAGTAGAAGAGTAAAAGGCAGGTCACAAAGTGGAGTAAAGTAGAAGAGTAAAGGACAGGTAACAAAGTGTAGTAAAGTAGAAGAGTAAAGGACAGGAAACAAAGTGTTGTAAAGTAAAAGAGTAAAGGACAGGTAACAAAGTGGAGTAAAGTAGAAAAGTAAAGGACAGGAAACAAAGTGTAGTAAAGTAAAAGAGTAAAGGATGGGAAACAAAGTGCAGTAAAGTAAAAGAGTGAAGGACAGGTCACAAAGTGGAGTAAAGTAGAAGAGTAAAGGACAGAAAACAAAGTGGAGTAAAGTAGAAGAGTAAAGGACAGGAAACAAAAGTGTAGTAAAGTAGAAGAGTAAAGGACAGGAAACAAAGTAGAGTAAAGTAGAAGAGTAAAAGACAGGAAATAAAGTGTAGTAAAGTAAAAGAATAAAGGACAGGAAACAAAAGTGTAGTAAAGTAGAAGAGTAAAGGACAGGAAACAAAGGGTAGTAAAGTAAAAGAGTAAAGGACAGGAAACAAAGGGTAGTAAAGTAAAAGAGTAAAGGACAGGTAACAAAGTGGAGTAAAGTAGAAGAATAAAGGACAGGAAACAAAGTGCAGTAAAGTAAAAGAGTAAAGGACAGGAAACAAAGGGTAGTAAAGTAAAAGAGTAAAGGACAGGAAACAAAGGGTAGTAAAGTAAAAGAGTAAAGGACAGGAAACAAAGTGTAGTAAAGTAAAAGAGTAAAGGACAGAAAACAAAGTGTAGTAAAGTAAAAGAGTAAAGGACAGGAAACAAAGTGGAGTAAAGCAGAAGAGTAAAGGACAGGTAACAAAGTAGAATAAAGTAGAAGAGTATAGCACAGAAGAGTAAAGGACAAGTAACAAAGTGTAATAAAGTAGAAGTGTAAAAGAGGTAACAAAGTGTAATAAAGTAGAAGTGTAAAAGAGGTAACAAAGTGAAGTAATGTAGAAGACTAAAGAACAGGCAACAAAGTGGAGTAAAGTAGAAGAGTAAAGGACAGAAGAGTAAAGGACAGGTAACAAAGTGAAGTAAAGTAGAAGAGTAAAGGACAGAAGAGTAAAGGACAGGTAACAAAGTGAAGTAAAGTAGAAGAGTAAAGGACAGAAGAGTAAAGGACAGGTAACAAAGTGAAGTAAAGTAGAAGAGTAAAGGACAGAAGAGTAAAGGACAGGTAACAAAGTGAAGTAAAGTAGAAGAGTAAAGGACAGAAGAGTAAAGGACAGGTAAGAAAGTAAAGTAAAGTAGAAGAGTAAAGGACAGAAGAGTAAAGGACAGGTAACAAAGTGGAGTAAAGTAGAAGATTATAGGACAGAAGAGTAAAGGACAGGTAACAAAGTGGAGTAAAGTAGAAGAGTAAAAGACAGGTAACAAAGTGGAGTAAAGTAGAAAAGTAAAGGATAGGTAACAAAGTGAAGTAAAGTAGAAGAGTATAGGACAGAAGAACGAATGAACGAATTAATTTTATTTTCAAAGGGTTACAAATTAGGCACGCAGGCCTGTCTTACATTCGGCCCTTCCAAACTCCTATCTTTCACACAGCAGTTGTATCTCATCAATAAAGCATGTTATGTTCATGTAATAATATGCATTTTATTAATATCAAGAAAAAACAAAAGCATGGGTGGTAAAAAATGTGCGCACGCTCGCGCGCAAACACACACACCCACATACACACGCAAACCCATTCACTCACACACTTAGGCACCCAATACACACATGCATCCACATACATACGAACACACACAAACACATACATACACACATATATACACATACACACTGATACACACAGTCACACCCTCTAAAACACACACGTATACAACCCTAACACAAACAGACACAAACAGATATACACAAAACACATACATACACACATGTAGCTGCACAGAAAGACCCATACATACGTAAAGGACAGGTAACAAAGTGAAGTAAAGTAGGAGAGTAAAGGACAGGTAACAAAGTGGAGTAAAGTAGAAGAGTAAAGGACAGGTAACAAAGTGGAGTAAAGTAGAAGAGTAAAGGACAGGTAACAAAGGGTAGTAAAGTAAAAGAGTAAAGGACAGGAAACAAAGTGCAGTAAAGTAGGAGAGTAAAGGACAGGAAACAAAGTGCAGTAAAGTAGGAGAGTAAAGGACAGGAAACAAAGTGCAGTAAAGTAGGAGAGTAAAGGACAGGAAACAAAAGGTAGTAAAGTAAAAGAGTAAAGGACAGGAAACAAAGTGCAGTAAAGTAGGAGAGTAAAGGACAGGAAACAAAGTGCAGTAAAGTAGGAGAGTAAAGGACAGGTAACAAAGTGAAGTAAAGTAGAAGAGTAAAGGACAGGAAACAAAGTAGAGTAAAGTAGAAGAGTAAAGGACAGGTAACAAAGTGTAATAAAGTAAAAGTGTAAAGGACAAGTTACAATATACACAAACCTCATTTCTTTCCTCTATTTTCTCATTGTATGTTTGATTCTCAATCTTGAGCTGTTCAAAGTCTATCAGATGAAGACCTTCTGAAACTTGTTCCTGTTACAGATAAAACTTAGTCAAATAATATGAATCTTAATTGATCTGTAGCATATGTAGAAGTCACAAATAACATTTAACCACACAAGAAAAATCAACATTTTAGAAACAGAAATAATTACAGAAAAGATAAAATTAAACAAAAAAAGAGTAGACAAGAATAAGAAAAGAAATAGAGTCTGAGGTAAGCTGAATTTTCACTGAGTGTACCCTGAGGTAAACTGAATAATCACAGATTGAATACTGAGGTAAACTGAATTTTTATAGATTGTATACTGAGGTAAACTGAATGTTCATAGATTATATACTGAGGTATACTAATAATAATAGACTGAACTGTGATCACATTAAATGTTCACATATTGTATACAAAGGTGAACTGAACGTTTATAGATTGTATATGATGTACACTGAATAATCATAGACTGAATACAGATGAACAGTGAATATTCATAATTTCTAAACTGAAGTAAACTGAATGTTCATTGACTGTATACTGAGGTACACTGAATGTTTACTGATTGTATACTGAGGTAAACTGAATGTTTACTGATTGTATACTGAGGTACACTCAATGTTCATAGATTGTATACTATGGTCAACTGAATGTTCATAGATTGTATACTGAGGTACACTAAATGTTGACTGATTGTATAGTGAGGTACATTGAATGTTGATTGATTGTATAGTGAGGTACACTGAATGTTCACAGATTATATTCTGAGGTACACTGAATGTTCATAGATTGTACAATGAGGTACACTAAATGTTGACTGATTGTATAGTGAAGTATACTGAATGTTGACTGATTGTATGGTGAGGTACATTGAATGTTCAATAATTGAATACTGAGGTACACTAAATAAACATACATGGAAAACTGAGCAACAGTTAATGTTTATTTATTGTACACTGAGGTAAACTAAATGTTTACAAATTGTTTACTGAGGTGAACTGAATGTTCATAGACTTTAGCTGAGGTACAATGAATTTTCATTTACTGAATACTTAGGTACAGTGAATGTTTACTGATTGTATACTGGGGTACACTGACTGTTCATAGACTGTATACTAAGATAAACTGAATGTTCACTGATTGTATACTGAGGTACATGAAATGTTCACTGACAGTTTACTGAGGTACACTGAGTGTACATTGAGTGTACACTGAGTGCACATTGAGTGTCCACTGAGCACTCAATGAATGCACACACAGTATCCACTGAGTGTAAATTAAGTGTCCAAAGAGTTAACTTTGTTTCCATTGAGTGTGCACTGATTGTACATTAAGTGTACATTGTGTCCATTGAATGTACATTGAGTGCAAATTGAGTGTCCACTGAGTGTATGTTGCGTGTACATTTAGTGTGTATTAAATGTCCATGGATGTGATATAGAATATATGTACATTTTGCACTGAGTGAATACACACAGCTTTAACCAAATATGTCTATAAAGCTGACACAAAGTACAAAATGACAGACAACAGTCAATAATTTGAGGCAAAAATACCTTTAATTTGATTTGCTGTTCATTCTTTTTCATGCTATTTTTCAGTCTGATGTTCTCTAATCTCATTTGGACAACTTCTTGCTCTTTCCTCAGTTCGCTCTCAACATACTGCTCAATATCCTAGAGATGTTATAAATCAGTGACATCAATCAGTATCCTAGAGATGTTATAAATCAGTGACATCAATCAGTATCCTAGAGATGTAACACATTAATGATTTCATCAATATCCTTGGCCTCTCACTAGATGATCATGCCTCTCCACAGTCTGCCATCTGTAACTGCATGTATCAGTTCTTGAGTTGACACCCTCCATGCCATGACAAAAGACTGTCAAGAATCTTATCATGCTGTCTTCCTCTGTCTCTCTTTCCACAGATCTTTCCAGTGGTCACAACATGTTTCATTTTCCCTCTTCTCATAACATGACCACAAAATGATGACTGTCTCTTTCTGATGTTTGTGATAAGCTGTCTTTAAGCCCTTGCCTCTTTCAAAACATCTGGGTTGATCTTCTTAGCTGTCCAAAGAATCCTAAAGATTCCTCTGTAAAACCACATCTCCCAGGCCTCAAGATATTGTTCGGCTTGTTTACTAATTGTCCAGGCTTCACAGTCGTATGTTAAAACCAGCTCTATGTAGCATGAAAGAATACTTTTCTTACCTCTAATGACATAAATTTACTGCACAAAATGTTTTTCATTTTCTAAAATGCAGTTTTAGCCTGTCCTATTCTATTGCTTTTCTCTGTGACACATCTTTCATTGTATCACTGTATGTTATCAATGTGCCTAGATATATACATTTCTTTACCTGTACTAAATAACGCCTTTCACTTTTATTGTACATTTAGGTCCTATTCTTTTCTTGGAAACCACCATGACTTGTCTTTCTCTACCTGTATATTCCAGGGCCCTATTTTACATTTTTTAAACTGAGGCCCATTTCCCCACTTTCTACCACTACCGTATCTATCAATTCTTGTAGTTCTTTCTGACTTGTCGCTATCAAGACGGTGTCATCAGCATAACTCAGGTTGTTTATATTATGAACACCAACCACAACGCTTGGCAAATCCATGATAGATATTATATATTCACTCTATAATGAAAATGAAACAGGTGATATTATGCAACCTTGTCTTACTCTCCTCTTTATGCTCTGAAATGTTCCCAAAGGATCATTAATTCTTATAGCTGCTGTTGGCTGCCAATACATGTTCTTAATAATTCGTAAATCTTTTCCATCACTGTTTAATTTTTCCAATAGTTTGATTGTTTCTTTATGTTTCACACAATGAAATGCTTTCGAATAGTCAATGAAGCGTAAATAAAGATCATTTGTTTTTTTTTACTTCTCTAGCTCTTTCCGCCCCCCCAGAAGGTACCTAGAGAGTTTGAAAAATGTCATACTGGTCTCAAATTTGATGAAAGGGAAAATCCCAAACTGCACCTCCAAGTGGTGGAGGGTGGGAAACACACCACGGTGTGGCTAACGCAGATATGGGGACCGAGCATCCATCTGAATAAGTTGATCTTTCAGCAGCTAGACAGAGAAGGGCACACACTTGTCCTGACAGTGGGAAATTACTGTCAAAGGTGCAGGTTTAAATACCCCATATGGATGTGGAAGGCAATGGGTAACCACCACATTATATTCCCAAGATATCTCTTGAAGAAACTGACTGAATCACACGAATGACATTAATGGAAGTCTAAGGACAGCCTCGTCCGGTAGGGACAGTCATGAGTCACAAGTCACAAGTCACAAGTCATGAGTCACAAGTCACAAGTCATGAGTCACAGGTGATCCCAGATCATCATCAGTTTACTGATTGCAATTTAAAAACAAAATTATGAAAACTAAGTGTGTTAAACTAGTAACGTGGAATGTGAGAACACTGGCAGAATTGGGAAAGACAGAAAAAGTTATAACCAAGGAATGAGTTAAATGAGATGGAAGGGTGCTGGAAAGATCAGACAAGTACACAATTATATATTTAAAGAAAGTGACAAACATAAAAAGGGGTTTGGAATAATTTTAACAGCAAGGAAACAGCAAAAGCAACTGTGGGTTACTGGAGTATATCAGATAGGGTTAACATGGTTAAAATAAAAGGCAACCCATAAATATAAACATTATTCAAGTGTGCGCCCCAACATCAGTTAGCAGTGAAGACGAAATATACACATTTTATGAAAATTTAGATTTGGCAATAGCCCAAAGAAAATAAACAAGAAAATAAAATAATATTGGGAGATTTTAATGCAAAAGTTGCGAAAGAGAGAGCAACAGATATAGTTAGGGAATATTGTTTAGGATCAACAAATAAAAGAGGTTGAAACTGGTAGAGTAGGTAAAAATAAATGATATGATGGTTGGAAACACCTGGTTTAAACAAAAAAAAAAGTGACGGCTATACATGTGGAGAAGTCCAGATATTCTTCTTCTGAGTTCATCCGAAGATGTAATTGCTTTGTGGCCATTTACAGATGATTGCGATATTTGCACTTTTTGGCCAACACATCCGACTTCTGCGGGCATTTGTTTACCTGGTTAGCCTTCCCGGAAATCCAGATATGCAAACATTCAATCAGATTGCTTATATACTAATTAACAAAAGGTTTAGAAATGCACTAACAAATGTGAAGACAAGACCTAGTGCTCACTGTAAGTGACCACGTCCTATTATGTGGAAAATTAAATGTACGATTGAAGAGTGGAAGGAAGAAGTTAAAAAACTATAAACTAAACAAAGTTATTTTAAGACAGGATGAGGAAATTCAGGAGACATTTAGAGTTATTTTGAGGAACAGGTACAATGCAATTCAAAAAATACAAACTATAAACAATCAGTGGGAATTGTTGAAAGACTCCATCCACCAAGCAAGCAAAGAGATTTTACCAGAATGAAGACAAATAGCTAAACAGAAATGGATGACTGAAAAAATTGTAAAGTTAATGGGTGACAGAAAACTGTATAAATAACAAAGATGAATATGAAAAAAAAAAAGTAAAGAAATAAGGCATAAGTGTCTGAAGGCAACAGAAGATTGGCTAGATGAACAATGCAACACATTTATTGAAGTTTTATTAAAGAGGCAAAAAGTGCTCACAAACAAATTAGTAACCTAACTGGAAGAAAGATAATAGTAAATACAGGATGTCTGAAATCAAAACTGATGAATGACATTTATAACACTGGGTACATTCCAATGAATATAATGAAATATGTATTTATTGCGTCACCCAAAAGACCAGGAGCAACTGAATGTGAAGAATTTTGTACAGTCAACTTAAAAAATCATGCCACCAATTTACTACTTAGAATTATAATGAGAAGAAGAAGAAGAAAAACAAGAATAGAAATGAGTGAAGAGCAGTATGGATTTGTGGAAGGTAAAGGCACAAATTATGCAATAGACATATTACGAACACTAATAGAAAGATCAATGAACATACAAAAGGACTTATATTTGTGCTTTATAGATTATACCAAAGTCAAACATGAGAAGATGATAAAAATGTTGGAAGACATCAATGTAGATGGGATAGATCTCAAAATAATTAAAAATATTTACTGGAATCAAGTAGCAGCAATTAAAATTGAACACTGATTGGGTACTTTTGAACAGATAAAGCAAGGAGTAAAATAGGGATGTGTCTTATCCCCAGATCTTTTCTCTCTATTCAGTGAAGTGCTTTTGAAAGAAATTAAAGAAAAAATCAGGAACAAAAGTGGGAGGATACAATATAAACAATTTGTGTTATTTAGATGATACAGTTTTGATAGCTGATAACACAACTAATTTACAACAACTGGTGGATATTGTGGCGATGGAGATTGCTAAGAAAGGACTTTCCTTGAACAATAAGAAAACGGAAGTCATGGTTATTTTAAAGAAGAAGACAACACAACATTGTGATATCTCAATTGAAAAAAAAATTGCTTAACCAAGTCAATAAACTAAATATCTGGGAACAATCATATCATCAGATAGAAAATGTGTGACAGAGATAAAAATCAGAATAGGTCAAGCGAAGGCAGCATTTCAGAAAATGAAAAATATCTTATGCAATAAGTTGCTCTCATTTAATGTTTGAAAGAGAGTGCTAAAATGTTACACAGAACCTGCTCTGCTGTAGGGTAGCCAATCTTGGAATGACAGTGGACAAATCAAGAAGAATTCGGAAGCAGCAGAGATGTGGTTTCAGAGACAAATGTTACAAATACCTTGGATGGCCAGAGTAACTAACAACGATTATTTGAAAGAAGCTAATGAAAGTAGATCTCTATATACAACAATAAGAAAAAGACAAACATTGTTCTTTGGCCACGTAATGAGAAGAGGGGCATTGGAAAACAACGTCACAACTGGAAAGATCAGGGGAAAGAAGGGTAGAGGCAGACCAAGAGAGATGATGCTGGATGGGCTGAAATGATGGCATAGAGGGATGACATAAAGAGAGCTGTTCCAGGCAACCAGGGATCATGATCTGTGGAGACGCATGAGCGCCTGCACCAACTGGCAGGGTCCCTGATGATGATAAGCTCTTACCAAAAGAGTCCTGAGGATGTAGATGGCATTGTTCGTACCTTTTCCGTTTACAAATCCACACTATTCTTCACTAATTTCTAGTTTAATCTTGTTTCTCATTCTTCTCATAATTACTCTCAGTAACATTGTTGTCATCCCTTTACGATGTTAGGGCTTTCAGAGGTGCCGATGTATTTACTGACCATTTGCTGGTGGTAAGTAAAATCAAGTTGAAACTAAAAAGATATATAACATCTTATAATCATAGAAACCAATATAATGTAGGCTTTCTCAGAGATAAAGAAATTAAGGAACAGTTCTCAGTTACCGTCTCTAATAAGTACCAGGTGTTGCAGCAGTTAGCTGAAGATGTCAACATCGAAGTCTGCTGGGATCAGATCAAAGGAATCTGGAATGAATCTTGCGTAGAAGTTCTTGGCAAGAAAGAAAGGAAACATAAAGCATGGATAACACCAGAAACCATTAAATTGAGTGAAGATAGGAAAAGTAAAAAGACAGAATTAAACAATAGCAAAACTAGAGCTGCTAAAGCTAGAGCTCAGGAGAATTACACAGAAGCCAA